GTAAAAAAAAAAAAAAAAAAAAAAAAAAAAAAAAAGATTTTGTGGTTTGCAGAGCAAAAAGCATGCTTTGTTAATAGGAGGCTACTGGGTGAGATTTCCACTGACTAGGGTAATTTATATCTGTTGTAACTGCAGCATGGACTTTAAAATACACCAGATCTCAAAGTGTAGTTGTAGTGGGACATCCTTAGTTAACTACCAGCTGGAACTGTATTTGGAGGTATACTGAAGCTACTGTATTTAGTTACTTCCACTCTGGGAAAACATTACAGGCAACTGTAACTGTGACAAGTTCATACATGCTATACTAGAAGCACTATATTTGACTTTTTTTTTTGGTTCATAAGTTACTTATTAAAACCATATGCCTGTATTTTTTCTATTGGGTAAAGTCAACAATAGGTTTGTTTTTCAAAATAACAATAGAAATCATGACAAGAATAAATGACTCTGTAAAACACCATTTTCAATACCAGGAATAAGAAAAAGGGCTAGGTGAAGATAGTTATTTCTGTATTGTGAATTATTTGAAAAGCTGGAGAGAACCAGATCTATGCTTACCAAAAAACTTAATCCTGAAAAATGTTTCAGTACTTCAATCTGGCTGGGTAGTTGAAAAAAGAATATGAAACAAAGAGGTCTCTGATTATGAAATCTAAAGACAGTAATGGATTTGGAAACAAGTACAACAGAAATCAGTGTATCTTATTAGCAGCCTTGCTATTCTCGTTGTTATCCTGAGGATCTGGGAATTTTCGCAGCCCAGAACAGAGATATGGCCTGCTACACCAGAGACAAGTCTGTACAGAAAACACCAATTCTATATCCACATGAAAAAATATGATGTATCAAGGTCCATCACTGGGTTATCAGACCACAACCCTTCATCTGGTTTGGTGACATCTATCGCAGAGGCAACAGAACTCTGTGCTCACAGACATAGCAGGCTGCCCATATACATTCTAGCCATTCAGAAGCCAGCTCCAAGCCAAAGCCAGATGGTATATTTTATGATTTCCCATTTGGTGGCCAGATATATAATAATACTATACCTTCTGTAATTAAAGTCAGCACTCAAGGCAGCAGAGTATTGCACACCAGAGGGACACCAGCTCATACTGGGGATGACATCAAAGGCAGAAAACAAATGGAGGAAAAAGTGAAAACAGGTACAGGGTTATTAGGTTCAAAAAGAAAGGGCACAGTTAGAGACAGATGGATTTACTTGTCAAAAAATTTAGAAATGTAACACTGAGGATTTAGAATAATGCTAGATTAAAATACATACTAACATACTGTTCTACTGATATCCATCTGGACATATTTTGAAAAAGAACATGAGCTCTTTATAAGAAAACCAGTCCAACCTAAAACCCAAGAATTTATTCTTGTGATCCTTGGGGAACTAGCCCACTCACTCATGGCCTCCTCTCCAGACTTTCTCAAGAAGGCATTTCAACACTCATTAATGAGACAATCTCACAACCCTCTCTTTCTCCTACATTGAAGTTACACAGTATCTCTACTCTGGATTAAGTGCAGAAGTAGGCTCACTGAGTCATTAGTTTTCTTGTTTTTTCATAAAAGATCCAATTAAATCAGGCAATTCATGAATCTTGCATAAGAGAAAATTCACATTCATTTGGCAGTATTACTAGAAATTGAATCCAGGGCCTCCAGCATGTAGGCAAGCAATCTACTCACTGAGCCACATCTCCAGTCCTTTCTAGATCCAAAATTTTGACATATAGTCTCACTAAGTTACCTGGGCTAGACTCAAATTTGTGTTCCTCCTGCTTCAGCTTTTCAATTAGCTTGGGATTATAGGCCTTGCAGCTCCATGCTCATCTTTAAAAGCTATTCACAGGGCTGGGGATTTAGCTCAGCAGTTCGATGGCCTGCCTTGCAAGCGCAAGGATCTGAGTTCAATCCCCAGTACCATAAAAAAAAAAAAAGCAATTCACTAGGCTCTTCTGCTAAAAATAAAGCATATAACAGTAGACATATTCCCTTGCAGTTTAGTAATAATTAAGGGATTTTTTTCTTCTAGAATTCTACCATACTCAGCTGAACATGTGTTTTTTAATAATTAAGTTTGTATCCAATTTTCCAACAAGATTTTTAAAAATCCATTTGATCATTTACTTCCTTGATTATCTAACCATAGCAGGGACAGAGAATATGGCATTGGAGAAGCTAAAGAAATATAACCAGCTTAAAAAAATAAGCAATTCAAAAATATCAGGTACTCTGGAAAGGGAACTACTATCAACAGGCCAGGATTCTTTTCTTTTTGAGCTATACTCCTACTGCCCTTTTGATTAACAAAACCCATCATTTAAAAGTTATATTGTTGCTATCTGGACTTTAAGTTCTAAGTGATATGCTTTTATTTTTAACAGGGGGAATAACAGAGCTGCTGGACAACAGTAAAAGTACTCAACTCCCTACTCAAATCACACAGATGGAAAGGCCTGCAGATACCAAACACCTCTCTAGAATTCATCTAATAACAGCTTGCCAAGTTGGGGGTCTAGGTAGAGGAAAGGACATAGGAAAACAGTGGGAGGATACAGAGCTTTCACCATAGTTCTTCTAGAAGGCAATTTTTATCTTTTAAAAACAACTTAAAACAGTATAAAACATTTAAAATCAAGAATCAACAGTTTGAAGCTCAGAAGTACAAAAGCAAAAAGTACACAGCTGAAATACATTATTAGTCTGGCAAGGATATCTGGCTAATTTACAATTTACTTGTATGAGCAGAAGCAAGATATGTCTTACAAACACAGACTCAGAAGTCTAGTCTTCGAAGTTGCTAAGTTAATTTTAAATCTCCAAATCATCAGTAAATAGGTACATTATATGTAAATATCCAACTTATTATGAAAAGCAGAATGTGGCAAATCAATAACAATGCATGTCATCCTTAAAAATAATGTCGTTTTATTGTTCTCAACATTCTCTTTACTCTCAGAATATAAAATAACAATGTGGACAGTTGGGAAGAAGTTCAAGATGAAGAGCAACAAGGAGACAAGGGTAGGGCGTAACAGCATTTCTGAAGATGTAATAGGACATTGCAGTTGCATATGGTTTATGTCCACCCTTCCTCAAAGAAGAAAACTTTTCATACTTAAGAGTATTCTGGAGAGTATTCTCATTTCCTTAACTGGCAGGGATAATGATTTTTTGGCTTTGAGACTTAGGAAGTTTCAGTATTTTAAACATCAACTCCCAAAATATTAGTTGGAATTTTTTAGTTTTACAAACTTATAAATTATACATCATGTTTTTCCTACAAAGGGTGTGTGTATGGGGAGCTCATTAAGGGCAAAACTGTAACTGGAGTTGTTTAGAACAGTTATATCTGTGTGAATTTGCACTGCACCTACAAATATGCCATCCAAACTCACATCAAAGAATTTTAAGAGAGCCAACAACTACAGTTCCCAAGGTTTTAGGTATGTTTCTACTAAGGTTTTTAAAACAACTTATTCCTCGAAAAGCAATGTAACTGAGAATGTTTAAATTTGAGCTCAACTTTTTTGCCTAAAATCTGGAATTAAAGGAATTTGAGTATGATGAAACAAAAAGATCACCATGTGCCTGCTTCCAACAAACAGATTTGGCTAACTGATAAAAATACTTCTTTGCAAATTTCTCTTAATTAAAAAAGCTAACAGTAACAGAACAATACTTTTTGGATTTCTTACATTTTTTTTTTCAAACAAGAGAAGCAAGGTTGCTAAGGACTTCTGAACAGTATCAAGAAACAACAACAACCCAAAACTCCCAAACAGTGTTTGGAAAATTCAAAGCAAATTTAAGCAGTTTCTGTAGAAATAGCTTCTCAGATTATAAATCACTTACTTGTAAGCTTCAACATTTTACCTGACAAATAATAACTAAGAAATTCAAAGACAAAGATTAGATAAGGCTGTAAAATACTTTTTGAAATGACTATGTCAACAATGGAATGGAAACTGCCAAGTGGCCAAAGTCTCTTTTGACTTTTTTTTTCCCCCCAGAGGGCCTTGCTATGTAGTTCAGATTGTACTTGAACTCATTATGTAACCCAGAGTAGCCTCAAACTCACAGTGTTTCTCCTGCTTCAGCCTCCCATGCCTGGTTCTCATGATTAAAGAACGCGTTGAAAATATTTTAGCACTTATGTGCAAGCACACACATTATTTTCTGGAAGGGGGGAATATTCTCCAGGTTCGAGATGACAGGCACAACATGAAAAATTCTTTGAATTCTCAGGAAAAGTTGCCGAAGTCATCTAGACCAGTAAATGCAACATAGAAAATGTTTTTAAAATTTTTTAAGAAGTTAAAGAAATATAAAAACAAATTACTTGTAAAGGATAAAAGCAATTAATAAATACCATACTTTATTTGCCTGAATTAGACTGTCCAGGGCAATGGGGGGTGTAGCTCAGTTGAGTACTTGCCTAAAATGTCCAAGGCTTGGGTTCAATCATTAGTACCCTAGCCCCAACCACACAAATGAAGTATCCAGCCATGGATTAAGCAGAATGAATGCTTGTTAGTATATGCTCAGAGGCAGCGTGGTTAGTCCATTAAAGGTAGTGAACTTTGTACCTTCTCCTATGAATGGGAGGCCTCCTGACAACATCCCCAAGAACTCGAATTGAACTGAAAATGAATGGTGGAAGACATCAGTGAGGTAGGTGAGACAAAATGAGATACAAATGCATGAAACATAAAGATACCACACTGGGAAAGGAGGTAATGCTCAAAGACAAATAGCACAGGAGGTAAGGGAATAAAAGAATGCAGGATGAGAAAAATATCCAAAAGGCCTGACAATTTCTGTGAAAGGCTACTTGGCTTCTTTCTTGCTCTAATGATTAATGACATGAGAAGTTATGAAGTTTATTACATTTTTATACAAGTAAAAGGACGAGAGAAATGTCACTCAAAACCTTAAAAGAGTTTTTTAGGACTCTGAAATTCAGGTTACACTATACACAGGAAGTACCATAAGAATTAGTCAAACTATTAAAATGATAATTAAAACTGAAATCTCATTCCATTAGCTCCAGGGGTATTTAGACAGAAATGATAAAACTAAATTCAAAAAGGCAATGCCATGACATGCAAATTAAAAATATAAGTGACTTCGGTGACAGGGTTCTAGTGTCAGTTGTCTTAAAATCACCACGCACTTGTAAGCACATTATTTAATCTGAGCTTCAGTTTCCTCATCTGAGCCACAAGATGCAAACAATCACACATAACTCTGAAAACAGTCACGACAAATGGACCCCTAATGGGTTATTAAAAAAATGGATGAGCCCTCTTCCCTTTATACTGTTACTGTCTAAGGAAGGATGTACTATGAAGTTTCCCTTGGTTCACAGAGAAAATTCTGTGCAGGGATCATTGCCCATGTCATCATATTTTCTATTGTGAATGCTTTAAAAAAAGGACATCAAGTATAAAACTGCAAAGGAAAGCATTTAGAAATTGATATTTGTACAATTTAGGATTTTTAAAGTATATAAAAGTAAGAACATTTCTTATATTTCAGACTTACAACCTCAACTCTATTATAGAAAAATATGAAATTAGAGAAAAAGTATTGGTCCAAGAAACCAAAAACCTGCATTCTACCAACACTGGGTAAATGATATAAACTATCTGCACCAGTCTTCTGTACTGCAAACATGGGGATAATACCACCTGACTCATGGAGAAGGTTAAAAAACTGTCAGAGGCCAGATGGTGTGGTACATGCCTGTAATCTAGCACTTGGGAGGCTGAAGCACGAGTATCATTACCAGTTCAAGGCCTGCCTGAGCTACACAGCAAGTAAGACCCTGCTTACAAAAAATTGTGTGGGACACAGTGTTACAAAAGGAATCTGAAAAGATTAATAAACTAGGAGAGTGGAAGGTATTACTGTGAGCTCCACGAAGGCAGGAACTTTACTGCTTACTTTTCTGTGTATACAGAACCCAAAATACTGTTCAATATACACTGGCTGAATAAATAAATGAATGAATGTGATTACATGACATGTACTCATAGCTGGCCATAAACTTATGAAAACAGCAATTTTTAAAATAAGCAGATCCATCTGAATTGTTTTTATCAGTTGTTTAAAAAAAATAATCAGGCTTCTCTCTTACCTGATTTACTTGATTAAGATAGTACCTCCAGAGTAGGTGTATGCTGGTAAATTCAGCAGGTACTGTAGTACTCATTCTTTACTTAAACTAAAACCAGTGGCTTAGAAATTCATCAGAGCAGCCAGTACCAGGAGCCAAATCTAACTAATGTTCTCTACAGACTGTTGCCAAAGCAAAGGACTAGACGGAGTTACACTTGTGAAAGTCCCCAAGACTGTGTGACACACAGGCAAATACCAATCATTTTATGATATGACATTAGTCTTATGCTCATTTAAAGGATGAGACATAGATAATTCAGATTTTATAGGAATTTTCTACATTAGAAACAGATGCCTCTAATTGTCAGGAAGCAGTCTGAATAACTTAAAATTGTAAGACTTCATGTTTGTTTCTTAATTAAAAATTAAAAACTGACATGAAACCATTTCCTCCAGTAGTTTCTAATTCATGAATTTCATTAACAAATCTGGTAACCATAAACACTAGCATTTACTAAAAATTCATTAAGAGAGTTACATTTCACTTTATTATAAGAACTCTGAAAAGCAAGTATTTTACAGATGAGAAAATTAAAGTCCAGAGTGGTCAAGTGTCTAGCGGAAGGTCATACTTCTGAGTTATTTATAGCAGGCATCTGAGCACCAATTTTCCTAATACTAAAGCTTATCCTCTATCTTCTATTCTATGGTGCTTCCTAAAGTCACTTACCATTATAACAACAGATCAGACACTTCTCAAAAGCAAGCAGACACTGAGACATGAGATAAATGTGCTCTTAGCTCACCTCCGGTGGTTCATTTCTGCATCACTGGCTGCATTCTTTCCAGGACCCCAGCTGTGCCTCCGGAAAGGGGAGAGTGAGCGCATGGAGCTCCTCCGAAAAGAGCAGTTTGCAGGCACTTCTGTGATGCTGTCCATCTCCTCCTCCTCTTCAACCTCACCAGAGCCAGCAGGCTCACTCTCAGTTTCTTGGCCCTCAGCTTCCACTCCATGGCTGTAGAAGCCATCAGGGCTTTGCCGATCTCTGGACCGGTTTAACTTTGAAATTTGAGGGAGGGACACATCACTTCCATGAGAAGAATGTTGATCCAGGGAAGCTGTGTCATCTGTAGAAGAACTGGATCCCATGATATCACAGACCTCAGGCTATAATGAAAAGAAGGCACATGCAGTTGAAACTGGCAGGACCAAAAAGATAGTCTGTTATTCCAGACTAAGCCAATTGTTTCACAGTTGGTCAAAGAGGGGCAAGATAAAAAATGACCATAAGCAGAGTTTTCTTTTCCATTTTTAAAATCTATTTTTCCAACAAGGTAAGAAGAGTTCTACCACTTTCTACTGTTGTCTTATCTGAGCTACTAGACCAGAAGTACATCACTTTTTCCTTTCTTACAGAAGAAAAGATTCTTAGGTCAAGTCTTTCAGTCAATACAATCAACTGAAATGAAGGAAACAATTTGTCTCTAGGGTTTCTGCTGTATAAAAACTAATATCATATCGTATAAGGTTAATTTTTTCCAAAGGCTTTTAATGGAAAGAAGCAGCCTCTATTGCTACAGCAATATGGTGAAGCTAATATTTCAAGAGTAAAGACATGAGTGTTTTAAGTGCCTTTCTGAGAGCGCAGAATAGCTTAACCCACCTGAAATCAGCCACAAATAACCTAAATGGAAGAAAGCTACTGCTTCTCACTTCACTGACAACTGGCTAAGTGCGATGCAGCAAAATCCACATGAAATAATCAGTATTGGCAATGTGGTCTTTCATAAAGTGATGATGGTCTTTTTCTAGCTAATCTTTAGAGCAGAAGAGGAATTTTGGTCCTCTCAGTCTGATACTTTACTTGTTGAAAGACACCAAAATGCAGAATATGATGTCAAAGGGAAAGGTGAGCTTTGTGGCAAAAAACAACAACAAAAAAACAAAGCAAGCAAGCAAAGCAAAGCAAAAAGCAAGCAAGCAAGCAAACAAACAAAACAAAGTATCTAGGAGATGCAGGACCACACTCTCAGCTACAAATGTGGGCACTAACTTAATATCTTTATTTTGCTCTCTTACAGGATACAGAAGGGAATCCTGTGACTTTTTCACAATATACTCCTAATTAGCCAGTTGACTCAGTGTTTTAAGAGTGAAGAAACACATAGTTTTTAGAGAAAAAATTTTAAAATTATGAGGGCTGAGTCCTTTCAGTTATAAAACAGGAAATAGGCCCTAGACTCAAGAGTATTTTAAAAGGTTTAACACTTTTTACCAAGGGCATATTGCTTTCTCAAAACATCTTTATGTCTTTGGGACTGGATCTCGCCAGCTATTATGTAATTTTTCCTCATAAAATCTGCTTTCCTAGATTAATTGCTCTTTAAAACGCATGAGATAAGACTGAGATGGAAACTGCAAATTGATCACATGACAGGGTCAGAGAACTGAGACCCAGTTGACTAAAGGACTTTTTTTTTTCTTTGTTTTTATTGAGTTTATTGGTACAATCTAGGTATACAATACAATTATATTCATTACTGGGATCCTGTACCTTCACATGACAGGTCTTGGTTCTCATTTTTTTCCCCTTGTCCCTGCCCTCCCTTCACTCCCTCCTCCCTTCCCCATTTGCAAACACTTTATTTCCATTTTTTCATTTTCTCATATTTGTTTCTTTTCCCTTATTACCTTTCCCCTACCCTTCCCACTTTCCCTACACCTTTAGCCCTTTTCTTCCTATTTCACACTATTAATTATCCCATTAGGATCTTGTGTACTGTTATAGTTTTTCACACCAGAGAAACTATTCAGCATTTACACATGTGTGACATTTATTTCACTTAGGAGTATATCCTCAATATGTATCCATTTTCCTATGAATAAGTCTAATTTCTCATTCTTTATGGCTGATTATTATTCCATTTTATAGAAAAACCACATCTTCTTTATCCAGTTTCCAAAAGATGGGCAAATGGGCTGTTTCCAATTTTTAGCTAGTACAAACTGTGCCGCTATAAACATTGGTGCGCATATATCACTGTGGTGTGATTCTTTTAATTCTTTTGGAAAGATACCCAGCAGAGGAATGGCTGGGTCAAGTGGAACCTCTAGTTCCAGCTCTTTGAGGTCTCTCCATATTGATTTCCAGAGTGGTTGTACCAGTCTGCACTCCCACCAACAATGGAGAAGGGTTCCTTTCTCCCCACAACCCTGCCAACATTTGTTATTGGTTGATTTCTTGATAGCAGCCATTCTTTGTGGGGTGAGGTGGAATCTCAGTGTTGTTTTCATCTGCATCTCTCGAATGACCAGTGATGTGGAACATTTTTTCATATATTTACTTGATGCTTTTACTTCTTTGTCTGAGAAATGTCTGTTCATTTCAGATGCCCATTTTGGAATTGGGTCTTTATATTTGGGGGGGCTGATTGTTTTGAGTTCTTTATATATTATAGATAATAGTCCTGTTTCTGAGGAGCAGCTGGTAAAAATTTTTTCCCACATTGTAGGTTGTCTTAGTTCTGTTGATGGTTTCTTTTGCATTGCAGAAGCTTTTCAATAAGATGAGATCCCACTTGTTGATTCTTTCTGCTAGTTCCCGTGCTACTGAGGATTTGTTCATAAAGTCTTTTCCTATGCCAATGTCTTCAAGAGTTCTGCCTAACTTATCTTCCAGCAAGTTTAGTTTTCTTTTTTAATATTTAGATCTTTAACTCACTTTGATTTTAGTTTAGTGCTCTTCTGATTACATAGTCAATGACCAGCAGAATGAAGATTTGAATCCAGTTTTAGACTCAAACTGCCCTATTCCATTATCTCAACTGTCTTTAAAAACCCAAAAGTTCATTCACTGAGTAAAACTTAAAACTACCGACAAGTGTTCCACCACATAAATTCTAGATTAGGATAGGTATTACTTTAAAATAAAATTGCTGATTGTTCTTTTTAGGTTAAAAGGATCAACAAAGTCATCTTAAAAGGTTTCTATTCCTTTAGTCACTCTGAACAGAGAGGAAAAATATAAATGGTCCTTAGTACCAACTTTAGAGAACACTTCTAGAATGGCTACGCTTTCTCACTATTCTGCAGAGTCCTCCTCAAATATGTCTTTTCAACATACATTCTTAATTGGAAAACAAGATCTTTTCAGATGTAATTAATTAAGATGAGCTCACAGAGGAGTAGGATGAGCCTTTGATTCAATGTAAGTCAGTCATGTCCCGTAGAAGAAGAGATGCAGGGTAGACAGATACCATGGAAAGGCAGAAATGGAGACTGGACAACACAAGAAATGTCGAGGACCATCAAGTACCAGGGACTGGCACAGAGGAATGGAACAGATTCTTTCTCTGAGAAAGCAATCAAGCTAAAATGATTTTAGGACCTCTATCCAACACAAATGGCAGAAAATAAATCTGTTGCTTTACACTACCTACTTTGTGGTAAAGTTTTACTGTACCCCTAGAAAATGAATGTTAAAGGAATACTAAGGGACAAACAGAATGGCTATCAAGCCTATTCTAAAACACACAAGAAAGGGTTCAAAGGAAACAAAAACTCTCAATTCAAAGTCTCCATTTATTATGTATTCTTCTTATAAGTCAGCCCTTCCCACTGGCAAATAACTCAGACAGAAAAGGTGCTTCTTCACTTTGGCATCTAATGTTAGAAAGACAATGACTTGTAGGAAGACAGAAAGGAAGGAAGGAAGGAAGGAAGGAAGGAAGGAAGGAAGGAAGGAAGGAAGGAAGGAAGGAAGGAAGACCTGGTACTTCATTAATCATAAAACCACCACCTACTCTTTGCAAGACATTAAAACAAAATCTTTGGTGGTCTATTCATACACACTTGAAGAGAACTATGTATAATCTATTTTCAACACAGCCTTTCCCCCTAATGCGTGTTAGGATATTTTCTTGGTGTGTGATTTTAACACTCACTGAGAAACAACCTCCAAGGTAATGATACAATTTCTTCAGTTTTGCATTCCTGATAGTAAGAATCATAGATATAATATTTTACACAAGTATTTTTACTGTATCCAATTCTTATTATGAGCTGGAGGCTGTTATTAAAAAAATAAAAACAAAGTCTAGAAATTAATACAGAGCTCAATTACTAAATAGTAAGGCTCTGAATCCAAGGGCAGCACTAAATTACTGTTTGCCAAGATTTTTTACAGGTAGTAGAAAGTTTCCCAACTTCACGTCTTTACATCATCCCTGCAGAACAGAAAATAGCCAGAGGCCCAACTATAAGTCAAACCCAGAATATGATCATAGTCTTTCTATAGGCTAAGTCACTTGCTTCATTTTGCCTTTCTAGACTTAAACAGATTTAATAAGCTTTAGATCTAAAGAGGTTAGAAATTAATAAAAGGTCTGTTGAAAGGTACTGTCTGTTTAAAGTATGGATGACAGAGAATCGAAAAAAAGCAACGATTTCATAAATTTTGGATGGGGGGGGCTCTTCTCCAGTCCCTGGATCCATTAAAAATGAAATTCTTACACTTAACCAAGTAATGAATACAAAAACTATTACTTCCTCCATTTCTCTCTGCCCTCCCCTACCTCTGATTTGAGGAAAGTTGTTCTTCCACTTGTATATTAGAAAACAAGTTACAGCTTTTGACACAAAATGTTCTGTGCCTAAGATCTAAAGTCCCCTTCTGAGGAGGGGGTGAAGGGAGGGCAGGGACAAGGGGAAAAAATGAGAACCAAGACCTGTCATGTAAAGGTACAAGATCCCAATGATGAATGTAACTGTATTGTATATCTAAAATGTACCAATAAACTCAATGAGAGAAAAAAAAAAGTCCCCTTCTTATGAGTTCTTGAGTTAATATCTGCTAACTAAATGACTTCCAGGGATTTAGGATATTACCCTGTGCTTTCAGGAGAAATAGTGAGAGGGAAATAGGATCCCTTTAACTAAGGTATTTCATTGTGCTTAGTCAAAACTAGGTGGTATTTCTAGTCTTATAAGCAGGTGCTCAAAACATAACTTAAGGTTTTTTTCTTCTACTTTAAGCTGTAGTTTGTAGATTGGGCTGTGAAGAGAAAAGGTAAATAAAAGTAGAAAAGACCTACAAAGGTAGACAAAAAAGAAATAAAATGAGTCAGAGTTGTGTATGTATACAAGGAGAAGTACGAGGGAAACTAGAT